AGTTCGAAACTGAGATGAGATAACCGTCAATCGAGGGAGAAAGAAGCCCTGTCTGTTCGACGCTCTTCGATCTAGATTTGTAGCTCTTATAAAAATTACATGTGTTTATTTTTCCTTCTTCCCCCTTCTTTGTCTATTCTCTGTTATTGTGGAACAATTTGAGGTTAGAGTTGGAGTTGGAGTTGGGGCTAGGGTTTTGATTTTGGAGAGGTAGGGTCTTGTTTACGTCATGATTTTTGGCGATTCGGGTTGCAAATGTACCCTGTTTGGGGTCCTGCAACCCAGATCGGGGTTGGGAGGGTATTAAGTGAATTCATGTAACATTGATCGTGAAAGTCTGTCAGTCAAATAATGTCTTATTCGGCAAAAAATAGTCTCTGAGAGCGTGGTTCAAAAATTTTCCAAGGCAAATTTGGAGTACAGTCTTTGTTGGAGTTAGAGTGAACATCTTGCATACCACCATCACACTAATGCATGTTACATCATGCTTTTAGTTTAAGAAAATGATATTTTATCAGTCAAGATGATTTCGAGGGAATTACTAAGCTAAAGGATTTTTCAGTAACATCGATTCCATACCAATGACTTGGGAAAACTTAGATGTTACAAGAGTATCAAAGTGGATAGGTCCAGAAAGGGTATCAACTTACCTTCAACAAAATATGCACTTAACCTATAAGGCAACCGACCAGTTTGATCTTCCTATGCATTTGAATCACAAACCTTCGGTAGAATATTGTGAAATATTTGGAGATCTCACTAGATATTGTAGGTTGGTCAAAAAGTTGACCTACCTGATTACTATTTTGTCTAGTATTGTATATGTGGTTAGTGTAAGTCATCAAGTTGATTCTTGGATTTATTGAAGTTAGTTGTTTGCTCAGCTATCTCATTTTCCAATTTACCCATGTATTTTCAAAAATGTTTTTTCCTACTCCATTGAGGTTTTCATAAATAGAATTGGGTAAATTTGGGTTATAAAAATCTGGAACTTCAAATGGAATGATAACTTTTCTGTTTTTGCCTAGAACCAAAATTGTTATTTTCGCTATCTTGAATCCCAGGTTTTTTCTTAATCGTAACCCAAGGGTTTTTCCCTTTATCCGTGATTGGTAAAAATATACATTTTCGTTAGAAATAATGATTAGTTGTCAGCTGGTGCTAATCAATTATACCATTTGTTTAATAGCCTTCAATACTATCCCTACTAAGATAATCACCAATAAAATTGTTAGTTCCTTTAACATGATCAACTTCAAAAGAATATGCCATAAGCTAATTATGTCATTTTAATCTACAACCTTCGAGATTATTTCTTTTATTAGTTAAAAAATAATGTTTTAACAATAAAGCTTTCAGGTACAAGATAAATATGAAACTTTTTTATAGCGAGTTTAATTGCTAAAAGTTCTTTTTCAAAAATAATATAATTTATTTCAATTGGCTTAAATTTCCAGAATTATAGCCACAAATTAATTCTTCTTTTTTATGTTTTTTACATATCTGATTTTTTCTAGCTCTGATATCAAATGAGAAGGGAGAATCTTTTTCTGCCCAGTCCTTTACTAGTATAACTTTGAGAACGCATCCCCAACATAACTTAGATGCATCAGTTTCTAAAATTGATTTATCTCCTTAGTTAGGAAAATAACCTTAAGAATATTTTTCTTTATCTTTTTCATTCCAGTCAAACTTTTTATCTTTCTTGAGTTATTTTATCAAAGTAATTTCTTTCCTTGATAGATCCTTGTTGCTCCCCCTAATACATATGTTTGTGATATGACTTGTGTCCTCTGTAAGGGTCAAACACCATAGGTCTTTGTATAAACCTTTTTCCTATAAGGAAGCTATATTTAATCCTCTTTGACAACAAGTTATGGAGAAGAAGTTTTTTGCCTTACATAAGGCTCAAACATGGGAGTTAGTTTCTTTACCCCTAGCAAACCCATTATTGGTTGCAAGTGGGTTTATAGAATTTTTGATTGCAACTATACAGTGGACGGGGGGCTCAAACCACTAATCTGCCACTCCACAATGGGAAGGCTTACCATTTGAATAGAACCTCAGTCCTAATTGGGTTAATAAAATCAAAAAGGAATCATGTAGTTTATGAAAAGGTACGACGCTCACT